GCACTTAAAATTTTTCCTATAATGATGCTTCGAGTTTCTCTATAGCTACTTGAAGGAAAACTTAGTGTTATATTTTTAATCCTTAGTGTTATAAACACAAAAAATTTTATGATTTTAAACTTCAAAATTACTTGCAAATTTTCGCGTTTTCGACAGATTTCGTAAAAAATTGAAATTTAAACGCTCTTAAAAAAAATGTGATTTATGATTTTTAATTTTTTATAGCTACAATAAGAACAACTCATAAGGATCYTTGTATTAAATCTTCAAGTCTTTTTGGTCGTCCAACATTTTTTTACCAGCACTTTAAAAAAAATTGAAAATTTCAGTGGTCTATAAATAACTCAAAAAAAGTCAAAATTTTTTGAAAATTAAACTGTATATATATATCACTATCATTAACATTTGGTGAAAAGGTACTTGTTTGTTATCGCCCCGCCAGTACGCCGTATAAAATTTATCGCCCCGCCACTCTTGTTTGTTATCGCCCCTCCAGTACATCGCATACAATTTATCGCTATTGCTAATCGTTTGTGAGCTATTTTAGAAGATGAGAAAACTACATTTTATCATTTTTATGATATAAGATATTCGTTCGTTGCTGGCATTCGTTTACCATTTCATTTACTTATTACCTACTACTGAGAAATTCGAAAAATTAAATTTAATACGTTAAAATGAATTTTACTGAATTACTTACAATTGTTTCAAACATCTCAACTCCATTATAACTATAGATTCATAATATATTTTCTACATTTTTATACATATTTTATATTTTATACATTTTTGAATTTAAATTTTATACTATACATTTATATATTTAAAACTATTAAAATAAAATAATATTATACATTGAAATATTTTTTTTTATTTATAGAGGGGCGATAACAAACAAGAGTGGCGGGGCGATAAATTTTATACGGCGTACTGGCGGGGCGATAACAAACAAGTACCGGTGAAAATTTCAAGTATTTACAGTGATTAGTTTTTGAATTACAACCATATAAAAAAATCGATTTGGTCGAAAACTGGTTTTGCGTAAAAATTCCCGTTTTTCTGTCATTTTTTTTTTGTTTTCATCGATTTTTTTGAAAACTGTGGGAAAATGTTTTTTTTTTGACCTCTATAATGCACCAAGGATATTCACTTTTACATCGGAAACCACCCCCAAAGTTTGAAATTGAAGCATTATTTCAACTAGTTATGCTGTACACAGGCACACATCATAAAATAAAAAAAACACATCATTGTAAAATCAATACATTCATCACTTCGTTCAGAATCTAAAATACAAAAGTTCAAAATGTATTCAATCAAACTTTGTAATATTTATTGTTTACATAATTTACTAAAAATTTTTCAGTATTCATTTGTACTTGATAATCAAGAGTAGGCGTGAATAACGCCATCTAGTAGATATCTGATCGTTAAGTGACACACTATTGTATAATGTTCACAATATACTTGTATTGCCTAAATACGATACAACTATAACATACCAATTTAATATAAAAGACTCACATGTAAACAGGTCAGGAAATTAGATCGACTCATAATAAAATCAGTTTCAATTAAGAACGGTTCAACTCGTATCATGTAAACGTAGTATATATTACCTTAAGCTGTCTTTAGATGATCGTATGAATTTCGACATTGCAAACGCTTCAAACGTTAGCGTTTTTATTGTAAAACGTTCTCHGCAATGAAAGGATTCTTCTTAGATAGTACTATCAAAAATTAAAAATCTTTATTATCATAACATTTATGTCAACATAAAAATTAAAGTATAAAATAAAAGTTTCAGTTATTCAATTTATCGTCTATTACAATTATTTACAACAGATAAACGATTATCATTTGGTGCTACRATCTTATTTCGGTTTGATGATCAAAATGTGCAGATCCATCACATTCGTGCCGGTGTGTCCGATTTTAAGTAAATCGCTATTACCACCGCAATCGAGTGACGAATAAAATCCGTAGCTGTCGTTGTTGTCGACATAATGCGAAGGGTTCAGGCCTTGGGACAGTGCCAAGTCCTCAAGTTCCGGGTAACCAAACGCCCCGCACGCATCGGTAGGGCCATCGATGCCGTCTGTGCCGCCGCTGAAGAACAGCACGTCGAACCGRTGCAGACCGTCGTCACGGCGTCTCGCCGTCCCCAAGGCCAAAGCTACCCTCAGCGCCAACTCTTGGTTCCTGCCGCCCAGGCCATTACCACGGACCACGACCGTGGGTTCGCCGCCGCTCAGTATGCACAAGCCACGGCCTTCGGATGACGCTTCGACGACCCTGTCCGTCAGGCCCTCAACGTCCACTCCGCCGCCGACTACCGAAGACGATACCTTCAGTTTCTGTTTGCGTTTCTCGTCCGTTGCTCCCAAGTACAGGCCACACGCGTACGCTATGAGATCTGAATAAAACGTGGACACCAGAGCAACGTCACCGCGGAGCGACGTAGTCACGAGTACGGCCTCAAAGTCTCGACTGGCGTACTCGAGTCCCGCCCGTAACGCCACGGTGTTGTTACCGATCACGTGATTGTGAACTCTGTCAAACCGCGCCGAGGTGCCGTTGAACGATTCGTTTCGCAAGAGCRCGTCGACAACGGACTTTGGCATCTTATCGCGCAGACCTAAGCGGTCGACGATTTCGATGGGCAGATGGTCGGGGTCGTCGTTGGGCACGGTGGGTCCGCTGGCGATGGCGGTCAACGGGTCGCCCACGACGTCAGACAGGATCAGTGAGATCACGGTGCACTCGTCCCGGACCGTCCCGATTAGTCGGCCACCCTTGACCCGGGACAGCGCTTTCCTCACGGCGTTCAGCTGTTCGATCGATGCACCGGCCGACGACAACAGGTTGGTGGCGARGATTTTGTCGCGGAGGGGCACGGTCGGTGAACACAACAGGGCGGAACCGCCGCCCGATATTAGTACGATTAGCAAATCGTCCCTTTCCAGACGGGCTAGCGTACTTATGATGCGATCGGTGTTTTCCACCGACTGCTGGTCGGGCATGTTGTTCCGGGCCGCCTCCATGACGCACATTCTGGAATTGTCCAGCAAGGAGGAGGGCCGTCGGGTCCCGAACGGAACGCTCACTGCGGCTTCCTTGAGACGACCGTCGAGTACGTTGTGCACTTCAAGCGCCATGTTCAGCACCGCTTTACCGAAACCGACCACATAGACGTCGCCTGGCACGCTGTACACCGAAGAGTCRTTGACGGAGAGYTTTTTTGAATCAAATCTCAGTGTGTTTCTGACGATGTTTCTGGGCGACACCGATTTTACGCATTCTTCGAAAACCTTCACAACGTATTTCTTCATTTCCGCCAAACGATCGTCCTCCGAACACATTATTTGCAATCCTGCAGAGCAAAACGCGATCGATACGTCRACCAATATAATATTATTATCACTATTACTTAAATGACAATAATTTCGGATTATTTTTCGTTTAGGTAAAAAAATAACTTTTATTCACTTACCGCGTCGATGATAAATTTGCCATGGTCAGAGCCCGATCGCTTTTATCGGGAATTCGTTTTCAACTGCGACAAGACTGTTATTTGAGTACGTGCATGATGACATATCATAATTATTATATTGTAACTCCGTCTTAGCAATAATAAATCCTATTATCGAATACTCGCATAGAATTATAAACCGGACATATTAAGACGAACCATTAATTCGATAACAACACACTTATCGTCGTTATCAAAAACGTTCGTCGATAGAATTCGATTGAAACACAACTTACTGCATTGCATTATAACATTATAATATTATATACGTAATTTCAAATTTTGAGCGCGAAAACTTGATAGACTTATAGATATATACAACTCGAATACCTTAATTGGATTTATGTTAAACCAATTGTACAAAGTACATCGTAGGTACGTGACAGCACAGGACTTTCTCGTGTAATGGCTGTTAAATTTGATTTTCATGTAAATATGCTATCGTGTGAATATTTTAATTTTTTACAATATTTTTTAAGACGACTACGCTATAGCCATCACGTGTGTTATCTCCGTCTTACAAGTGCGTAACATATTAAATTTATGCTCAGCAGATAACGTTAGTTTAAAAATTAAAGTAAATTAACCTCCTCTTAAACTTAAATCAAGAATATTATTTGTGTTCGTATATTGGGTTTTTACGATGGCTCAATTTTTTAGAAGTGTTGCGTAGGTATATAACATTATAGCATAGCGTAAATTAAAAATGCACATAACACAAAACTGAACTATCGTAAAAACTCGACATATACGAACACGGATAACGTTATTAGCTTTACATTTTATAGGAGGTCAATTCACTTTAATTTTTCAACTGACGGAGCTAAACGTGATCTTCTGAGCGTAAAATTGCTGTGGTACGCACTTATAACTTGTAAGACGGAAACAACACATGCAAGTATAGCGATCTCTTAATACGTAATAAGTTCTTAGTCAGGAACCTGTATCGTCGTTATTAGATATTTTAAGAGGGCGCTTAAGTTCCATGTTATTATGACTTTATGGGACCTAATTTAAGGCCTATTTTTTTGAATATTATGTTCTGATTTTAAAAACAAACTTACAAAATTCCACTTTATTTTTATGGATTAAATTTTTTCAATACACTGGCCACGGGAGTCCATAAAAAGTCTTAAAATAGTATTGGCCATGAGTATGAGAGAAAACAAATAATGCGCTGATGCCCTCTTAAGTGTTGGAAATGTTCTATAAATTTACATTTATAATAAAAAAAGCAACCATAAAACATTACAATAGAAGTTAGTCAAAAAAGTTAAATAGACAATACAATATATTTAATCATAAGTCATTAAAATTTGACCACTTTTCTTAAACATAACGCTGCCTGAAAAAAATTGGAATTTTTACAAACACGACTTGAATATTTTACAATATTATTTTATTATTTATTTCACTAGATATATTTACAAAGTACAATGTTAAAAAATTAAACAATTACAACTAACACGTGCCTTGGTATTGTATTAATTAATTCTCAAAATATATAACACAATATAATGTTGCTTGGATAAATTTAAAAATAAAATTTACTATATATTAGGATGGAATAATATAAGGGTTAGAAACACAATGTTTAACATAAAGATAGGTTAAAACCAAATCCACTAAGTTATATAGTTTAAAAAAAAAACAAATAATAATAATAATTATAGAATGAAACACTTAATGCAAAGTTAGTAGGCATGTGTTATAATTTATAAATAACTGCTTACAAAAATTAGAAAGCATAATAATAAGTTTAGTTAAAAATAAATTGATATATTTTAATTTTCAAGAATCTTGATTTACAAATTAAACTCATTGATTAAAATAGCTCATCTTCAAAATATTTAAAAATTACAAACATTTTAAAGGTGAGAATTACAAACAATAAAGATATGACATACAACCATTTTCAGTTATTTTAATCCTATACATATTTTATAGCTAAACTATAAATAATAATGATTACTTTTTTTACAATGAAAACATATAATTTAATTGTTGAAAGAGGAATAACAATAAAATGTCACTTTTTAAGTGTATTGTAAAATTAATACAAAAAAAAAAAAAAAACATAATCCACTGTATATATCCAAATTAAATTGATAGATTGTTACCAACCAAATTATTCAATATATAAATACACAAATGAAAATTTTTCATTCTTAAAAATCATATTTAAAAGAAGGTATTGTAATAATAATAAATAATATATTTGAAATTTAAATTTAACAGATACATAACATGTAAAATTATAATTGTAATCAATAGTTTAGTATGTGATCTACGCTTTGTTTATAAAGTAATATAAAAAATGTATTTACATTTACTAACAAAACATAGTGAGTAAATAATAATTCAGGAAGTATTAAGTGTACAAAATAAGATAAATAGATCTAAAAAATTTTATATTGATGTAACTAAAGTATTTCAGTTTCTATCAAGTTTGCCTATGAGTTCGTCACAAAGATTAGTAAGCTCAGCGTTTTCCACGTCTTTCCTATCTAAAGACTCTTGTAATGATCTAACTTTAACTTCCAAGCGTTTGTTCATTATTCTCATTTTTGAAGTCTCTGCCTCAAATGACCTCTCCTTCTCATTTATTTCTTCGGTGGCTCTAAAAAATATACACAACAATTAAAAAACTTAGTGATTAAAAAAATCACAACAATTTCAATAACTTTAATATTATTACTTATTCATTTGTTCAGTGGCATGTATTTTTAACCTCATGTATTTGTCTTCATACTTTTTGAGAGATTCTTCAAATTCTTTGATACAGTTTTTATATTTCGTTTCATTTTCTTTCATTGCTTCAATTACTTGTTTTGAGGAATTATATTTTCTATAAAAAAAAAAATGTAAGTCAAATAAAACTAATTGAACTTATTTAAGAAATTATTTTATGTACTATCAAAATTAAAAATATTTAAATTAGTACTGTATTTAGTATAATTTACATATAATACAAATTAGTTATTTTTTAAATGGCTTTTCTCAAAAAATGTACAAATTAATTATACATCTTTAGACCAAAGAAAAAACTATCAACTAAAAGCCATACAAATAAAATACAATAACTTGTTTTAKTGTAAATGTTATCCTTCTAAAAACTTTTTAGGTCTTAAAAACCAGACCTAGTGCATACACCTAGTCCATRCAGCCTACATCAGAGCCAGTGAACAAATTTTAACCAGTTTTCTAAACTTAAAATGTATAATAAATAATCTCATAATATATATATAATATAATATATTATAAAAATTATAAGTTTTTATATCATTTTGAGTCACTTAGATCTGGCGTTATATAATCATAAAAATGAATTAAATGTTTATCTTAAATATAAAAGAAAAAAGGTGGATACTGTTCTGATGTACAGTTGGTTACAAATGGGTCACTATAATGGATAATGTTAAACTTAAACTCAATGATAAAATATCATTGTATACAATTAATGATTCAGAGCGGTACAGTTCACCAGTTAGTCTTTAATATGATGATATTTTTAAATTAAAACAAAATAACTATGATCATTTGTAATCTTATTTTGTCTAAATTTGAACTTAAAATATCAATGTAAATATATATATATATATTGGTGACAGTATGAACTACTTATGGGGATGCCTTTCTTTAAATTCTCATAATCTTTAGTTGTAAAAACTAAAATATTTATAAATTTGTAAGAACAAGATAAATTATGACAAGTTTTAAGCTTTAAATGGCTATATAAAAAAAAAATTGTCAATATGGATCTTCAATATTTTTTTAATTGTCATTATAATAATTTATAAGGTACCTTGTTTAAAATTTTCAAGTTTTTTGACTTAATGAAAAAAACCAAAAAAATATTCAAATTTAAAATATCTATAAATACTTTAAAGTGAGTCAATATATTTTGAAACATTGAAAATTTAAATAATGTAAAAAACGGTTAAATAATGTAATTTTTTAATAAATGATTTATTTTGATAAGTTTCAATTTATACACTTGCTCCTTTATCTGAAATGATAATTAACTTAAAACTAACAGCAACTCAAATGTACTGATGTAAGTATGTAATGCATCATGATTTTAACATTTTTATTATAACAATAATATTGATAAAAATCCCAGCACTAGTAATAACTAATATTTTATTTTTAATTCATAGAAAAGGGGTATTTTTAGTTCAAAGAAAAAGGATATTTTTAATTTATTGAAAAAATATTTGAAAGTTTAATTGGGCAAAAAATAAGAAAAATAAAGTTTACATTAGATTAATCTGAATTACCTAAGACTTATTTTCCACTTACTGAGTTACAAGTACAAGAAAAAACATTGTATCAAAATCCTATAACTATTATCTATGTACCTAACCCAAACTACAATAATTAAAAATTGAATTAGCTTGTAATAGTATAGACTCTTTACATAATCTAGTTAGAAAGCAAATAAACCTTACTCATGAACATCATTAAATGCCATTTCTGAATTTTGGAGGTGACGTTCCATTTTTGCTCTTTCTTCTTCGATATACGCAATTCGCGCTTCATATTCTTTATGTACATCTTCTTTTTTAGAGACCATATCAGAAATAGTTTTTTCATATTCTCCAATCACAGTACTACACATAAATATATAATTTAATCAGATTATAGTACCATTATACAAACTTTATTAAATAATTGTAAAAAAGATATAAATGTAAGTATTAAATTATATGTACCTTAATTGATCTTTGCTTTTAGTTACTGATATCAATGAGTTGGTTAAGTTTTTTATTTTTTCCTTGTCAGCAATACATTCATTTTTTAGGTTCTTGATTTCGCATTCCAACTTTTCTATTTTATCCTACGCACAAAAGAAGTAACAGTAATAATATTAGACATTTTAATAGGTAAAGCTAAAGATAAGGGAGTTTTACAGAATATGCATAGTTTGTAACTGTTGATAGACCTATAATTTTGTAATAATATACATAATCTCAAATAATTTATACTAAATTTAAATTTAGCTTAAGGTAGTATTTTATTGACTTATAACAAAATTTATTTTATATACTTGGTAACATTTTTCTCGGTCATTAGTTTTGGTATTGGAACTGTTACTGAACTTTTCATCTTTGGTAATAGACTGATTCATTTTGTTATCTGAAATCTGAAAATTAAAAATGTATAAGACATTAACTGACTGATTATTAATAATTATCATCACTTTGAAAAATACAAATATTTATTTAACATATGGTTACGTACATTCAGAGATTTGTTAGAACCACTACTAGATTGTGGAGAATTAGTCAATATCGTTTTATCTGYGACTAATATATTTTCAAATACTTCTTTCCTGTGAGAAAAAATGGATATTTAATTAATTTCAGATTATCCATAAATTGTATTAAATTTGAATAAGTTGCTTTTTATTTAAAAGTTAATTAGGTAGGTATTAATTAAATAAAAAAAAAATTAATTTTTAGATTTAGAACAATTTTACACATTAGTAATAATAATTAAAAATAATAATCATATTGGGAGGCGCATTAAAAAATCATAAATATGCAAGAATAGTGACTTGAGTTTTTTAAGTTTTTTTCTTTATAAAATATGACATATATATTGTGTATAAGAGGATTAAAATGTTTGTATTCCTTTGAATGATTTAAGATAATACAATTATAATCAACACAACATTAAGACATATTTACTCACCGTGCATTGGACTCCTCGTTAGCTTTTTTCACAATAGGGTCAAACGCTACATATAAAGATTTTCTAGAAATAGTTAACCTTCTAATATCCTCTTCATTTAAAGATCTCACAGATTCAAGAGCTTCTAAATTATCAAAATTAAACCCAGAAGATGAATTGAAACCTATTAACAAAACATAATTTAATGACTACACTAGACATTACTAGAATGATATTTTACAATATCTATCAAATTATTAAGATTCATTTTTAATCTTATAAAAATGTGTACATTATTTTATGGAAATAAGTATTAAATGTTGATTTTATTAAATTGTATTCAGATAATTTAAATTGATCAACTTAAGTTACTTGATACATCATAAAACCAGATGACTAAATTGAAAGTTTACCAATTGCACTTTAAATGACCTTTTAATGTAACAATTGCGCTCAAAAATTTTAGGGTTGATATACCAATTGAGCTCTAAAAATTTTAGAGTTGATAGACCAGTTGCGCTCTATACATTTTACATTACCTAAGGAAAACTTATTAGYTAGTTACTAACCGATATTTTTGCGAGTATTAATGTGTAATTGAGATTTCTAGTTTTTTACTACATTTGCACTAGTTACCACATATGAATCATGGAGCATTTAACTCATGACCTATGACCCGCGTGTTGACCCTAAGCCCAAGTTTGAGGAACTAATAGCCATTATACCTGATACTGTTATAAAATATATTATACCAGTCACTTTAGCCAGTAATCAATTGATCAATAAATATCAGGTAACTTTGAATACAAGCACAATTGGTATATTGACCGTAAAATATAAAGAGCGCAATTGGTATACTAACCGTAAAATATAAGAGGCGCAATTAGTACAATGACCCTGAAATGTATGCAGCGCAATTGGTACACTGACCCTAAAATATATGCAGCGCAATTGGTATATTGACCCTAAAATACAAATTTTGTTTTATGTGCAATTGGTCCATGCCAACTTAATTAACCAATACGCCTGTTGATATCTTAACATAATAAGTATAAAATAAGCAAATAATACCTAAATTTAAATATATAAAATATGGTTAATACAACATGGTTACAATTTTAATTGTAATAATAGTAAGTAAAATTACCTTCAGCTATTACAGGTCCTGCTTCACTAGAATTTTTTATTTCACTTTCAAAAATATTTGACTGAAAAATATTAACAATAATAATGATCAGTTTGATGTTTAATTTAATGATTTCTAAGAGACAAACATTTAAAAAAATGTGATAATTTTTAGCCTTAAAATGTATGCATTATAAACCAATTAAAATCATATATTACAGATACAGTTAATCATTGCAATCATTTATAAATATATTTGGCATTTATTGTAGTTGTTATTAATTCAGTATATAGAAGTTACAAATAACAAATTTAATAAACCATATCGAATATATTTTAGCAATATAATTATATTTCTTTTAACAGTTTTAACGATCAGAGAATGTGGTAGATTATCTATTGTTACTTGTTTTTGTTAATATTTTATAGTTTATAATACTAGGTTTAATTATTAATCATACCTGGAATTTGTTTTCTGATCCTATACCATCCATTAGCGAAATATTTAGTTTCTGTGCTGAATTGTTCAAGTCTGAATTTAATTGATGTGATATTTCTTCAGATGATTTATTTGAGAAAGAATGTGGAGTTAAATTATGAGAAGAATCTTCAAAATCAGAGCTAACTAAATCCAAATTTACTGATGTTAAATTTTCATGTATTGATTCAATATTACTGCCAGAGTCATTAATGTCTTCGTTGCATATAGTTGATGAAAAGTCTAAACTATCTAACTGTTGGTTTTCAACAGAATCTGTAACAAATGACCTGTAAATAGAACTGTCATTTGAAGTTACAGGCCTGCCGCTATCTGAATCAGCTGAATCTGGACGTTCTTTTAGATCAAAATCTTCTTCAATCACTAAACTATCAGGTCTTATCCTTGAAACTTGTGGAGTAGCTAAAGCAAGACGTTCTAATTTGTTTGTGAGCTGAGAAATGTTAAAACCACCCAATGATACATCACCTAAATACTCTTCATGACTACTGAAAATATTGTCTGAACCATCTGTAAACATTTTTTGTATGTATATTTGTTAGTTATAGAACAGATAAAAAATGTAAATGTTTACCATTTTTTATGACTGTCTTGTCTTGAAATGAACTGTTAGACGATTCTGTTCCATTTGGAAGATTAGGCTGTAATAAAGGAATAAAATTACTAGTATACCACATTATGTACTTTATAACATAGCATAACTACAACACAATATACTATCTCAAATTATCACAGTTTTATGAAATTTCTTTTAAAAAAAGAATAGGTACTATACTTCTAACAATAATTGAAATGTAAGTACCATAATATTATTCAAAATCAAGTTGTAGCCATACAATGTTTTGTTTATATTCTTAGTGATTATGTTGTATAATAATACATATTATACAACTTAAATACTAATAGTAGTGTTCAGTAAAAACATAAAATTTGGTTCGATGGCATCTTAATTTGTGATTGTAAAATTAATGAATTTTTAATGGAATAATGACATTCTCTACATAAGGTTATGGATAAAAAAAAGTGTATCCGCCTACATGATCAAGTCGACAGGTATGGAATATCTATGCCACATCATTACTACCTATATGCCCTCATAGGATAAAGATCTTATGATATATATATTTATCTTATTCACAAAATGTATATTCGTAAATGGCAGAATAATTTGTGATTTTATTGTAAACAACAAATTCTATAGGAGACATAATATATTTAGGTAATCAACACTAGTATAAATTAAAGATTTATCAACAAATCAGTCTGACCCGACACCATTCCAAATAGAATGCAAACATATAATTAAAAAGTGCTACATATAAATATATTTCTTTAAAAGCTTTGCAATATTACAGCTGTAATATAATTTTTCCTTAACCTTACCTTTTGACATCGGAGTTGACATAATCCTAGCCCTATTTGGCGTTGCAGCATTTAACAAAAACAACATATAATGGCAACACATATTGAGTAAGCGAAGTCAATAACAACAATAATTTACCTGATTTTCTTGGTCCAGCATCATATCATTCCTTGTTGTCGTGGTAGTAGTAAATATTTCTGAAATYGAATATTATTATTTGCGCAGCGAGAAGGTCAATTGCGAAGTACAGTAAACAAAGAGTAGGCTGTCAAAAACTGAATAACGGTGCTAGCAAGTAACAGTAGTAACACCAGTAACTAATCCACAATTCGACAATATCATATTTTATTGTAGTCGTTGTGATGATAAAAAGTACAAACTGTAGAATGTACTCGTAGCTGTAGCCTTTAGGCAGTGGTCAGTGTAGCAGACGATAAAAGTTGACCAAAGCAAACGTTATCAACGAACGTATCAGTAGAACCGTTAGGTAACAWGTCGGTTCAAACCGTACGTGCACTCAGGTTACCGCAGAACAATAGCGAGGTAATAGCACAATAAAATTACAGTGTCTATATCCTGGTAATAGTGGTAATAGCAGTATTAGAGCTACCAAATTTCATGATACTGCAACTGCGTGTACAAAACTAATAATATAATATTATTGTCATTATTGACTAAAATGCAAAAATGTACGATGGTACGATTAAGCAAATTAAATTAAATTTGTTATAAGCTTATAACTATAATATCGTTATAACGTTATATCCATATCAAAATATTAAATGCATATGATTTTTGTTGTATTTCTATAATGGCGAAATACTATTACAATATTGAAAAAAAGGTAAAAATATTATATATGGCCACAAATTGTTCTTACAAACCTGATGGTCGGTCATCAAATTTCAGGTTTATGTTCGTGAAATTAAAACGTTCCCAGACTCCCAGTTCAATGACTTTTTAATAATCTTCAGTTGTTTACAAMAGCGTTCAACCTTTTTAATTTCAGTGATAACAACCTATAACGGTTTTATAAGATGAGTAATATCAATTTTTATTTTATTTTTAGAAACTAAGCGGAACGAGGGGCTGAGGGGCTATATTTTAGCCGAAAATATTAAAGCCGACAGTATTTTAGCCGACAAATATTTCAGCCGACAAYATTTTAGCTGAAAAATATTACAGCCAAAAGTATTTCATCCGACAATTATTACATCCGAACATATTTTAGCCAAAAAATATTACAGCCCACAATATTACAGCTGACAGTATTTTAGCCGACAACTAGAATTTGACAGTTGGTTACATTGATTTTAATCAATGGTTGGTTGTGGAGTCGTATTGCCTATATTAGCCTCCAAAATTAAATATTTCATTAAATTTTTAGTTTTTTTATGTCATATTGTTATGTAATTAATACGTATTGAATATTGATGACTGATGTGAAACAAATAACAATACATTTTTTTTTTTTTTTATTAAGAGGAACTCGTGACAACTAGGCCATTGGGTGTGGGGTGGTACGGTAGAGATTATTTTTTGTATATTTATTTGTAAGTTTTAAGTGGATAGGGTTGTAACACGTGTTTGTGTATGTGTGGCAAGGATATGTTGCTTTAAATCCCGGGTGGTCACTCATCCGGGAGCTAGCAACTGCGGCCGGTACGTACGCTCAGTGCGTTTACGAAGATTGAGCGTACGACCGCGCCTCACCAAGCCAAACAATAAAAATTTATAATATAGTTTATGTATGATATAAAACAAAACCGATGAACAAGCAATTTTGTAATATTATTGTACCTAATAACCTAATTATTAGTATAAAAATAATAGGTAAGAAGTATAAAATAATCTATGTAAAATCAACCAAATGAAATTCCTTGTCTATGTACATAAATGTCATAAATACAAAATATTAAATAATATCAACAGGTATTGCAATTTAAAAAATTTTTTTTTTTATAATCATATGGCAATGTTATTAAAATAAAATGTTTGCCGTGTATTAAAAATTTTCAATTCGTAAATTATTTTATTCTAGAAATTCATAAAAAATTTTCCTTTTATACCTAAGATTTGAAAATTTAATAAAAGATTCCTTACAAATTTGTCAATCTTTATCACAAAAAAAATTTCCATCAGAAATTCAAATTAAATTTTTATTAGCATTTGAATTTCAAATATTGACAAAAATTCGTCAAAACCATGAATATTTGCAAATTATTTAGTAGTTCAAAATTCATAATATTGTTTGTATTTATATCTTAGGTTATAAAATTTAACACCAAGTTTTCCATAAGTTTTGCTTCAAATAGCTATAGAGAAAATGTGAAGCGTCATTATAGGAAAAATGTTTTGAGCGTTTGAGTTTTAAATTTTTATGAAATCGCGTAATGATAACGATTTATCCTCAAACCAGGTATTCGTATATCTATGATAATATAAGGTATTATGAATTATGATAACTACATGATAACTACACTAATTGATTAACTATGCCTTATGCATAGTTATGCGACTTAATTGAAAAATAAAATATTTATTTCAAAATAGAATATATGACAATATTAAAATATAATGTATCCTAGACTGACCAATCATCTCCGTTCAGAATCGTTTTTCGTATACAATGATACCTATCATTGCATTCAAATTTAATCCCATCCATTACAGTAACCTATTGTACAGCAGAGCGACATCCACGACTTACCCGCTTTTTATACTTATTTTTATATAAATTGCTGTTTTTTATAATTTACTGTTATAACTTTGAATCATGTTTGGTGAAACATTTAGGGGTTGGTGAGTACGCTGGATGTCAAATTTGAGAGCAAAGAAAAATTAAAATCCTTCCAAGTGATTAAAATCTATTTATCAGTGATTGTTACTAGTAAAGTATTTTTTGGTGTTGATAGCATACTAAACAATTATTTAAAACATTATGTCAGCAACATGGACATATATACTATTTAGGTATATAATATATGTATGCTATAATATATACTCGATCACTAGATGAACCTAGGTTTTACTAGTTAAAGTTAGCTTTTACTGTTTGTACTCAGTAAATGCTGAAATTCTTAATTTTATTCGGGCTTTTACTAAACACGTTGTGTACATCCTAGGTATACAAATTGACTTAAACTAAAAGCTGATCAATACACGACACACAACATTTAAGCGATAAGCTGCGTAAAAATTATAATTATATATTATTAAAATAAACTACTGACAGTTACCTATTTAAATTTTTATACAAAATAAAAATTAATTTAAAAACAGAATTATTATTTATATATTCATAAAAACTAGTAAAACTGGTGGGTAGTTAGAAATAATAATTTAAATTTTTATAATTTAGTCTAGACCAATCTAATACCCTTTGTTCTTCTTTCTATATCTACTTCTGTTATTCCTATTTATCTTTCCCCTTCTAATAGGTATATCTCCTAACATTGTGGTTTAACATTTTTTATCATTTTTTTAAAAAATGTTTTAACTATAAAAGTGCCTTCACTGGAAGGTATCTTTAATCCGTCCTTCACGCCATAATTATCAAATTCATCAATTTCACTTATTGTTCAAAATTTTTTTTTTTTTTATTGATCATTTTTACATCGACAACAAAGGCCATTAGTTACACTTATTTACAGAGATTATATAATATAATACATATGTATTGATATAATGAAAAGTTATTAATTTGGATAAAACATTTTTTTTTTTTATATAATATTGAACAATTTTGTTTTTCTTAAAAAGTTAATTATATTTAGGTTTTTATCATGCATAGGTCCGAGTGTGGAGTCGAGGTTGAATGATATTTTATGTTCAGCGTGCTCTTGGTTGTAAATTAGACAGTCGGCTACTATATGTTTTACTGTTAATGCAGTACCACAGGTTTGACAAATAGGGGGATCCTCTTTTGACATATAAGGAAACCATGAGTGATTCTGGTGTGTCCTATGCGAAGTCGGTTAAGAACCGTCTCCTCTTTTCGGGTGAGTTTTGGGTTCGTTCATCAGCAGATTGTTCAAAATTCATGTAACAGATTGTGGAGATAAAAATTAAGAAATAAAAAAAAAWAATGTATTATTTCAATATTTTATTTATTTGCACATGTACTATTATGGCATTTTTATTTTGTATAAAAATGTATGTATATATTATATACCTATACATACATATATATATATATATACATATAAAATAACTATCAGCATTTTGTTTTAATATATATAATCATAAGTTTTACGCAGCTTATCGCTTAAATGTTGTGTGTCGTGTATTGATCAGCTTTTACCAAGTCAATTTGTATATCCTAGGATGTACACAACGTGTTTAGTAAAAGCCCGAATAAAATTAAGAATTTCAGCATTTACTGAGTACAAACAGTAAAACTTAGCATTAACTAGTAAAACCTAGGTTTACCTAGTGATYGGGCATTTACGGTAACATATACATTATATATATATGATTTGCACTTTGCAGTTAGGCTTAAAAGTTACAGACAAGAAATACTAACAGTAGGTATTATAATTTCTATCTCGTACCTATATGAAAAAAGAAGTATTTGCTTTAAAACCCTAACCCTACTTATTATAATTGTCATGACCTTATGATTAACAATATTATTATGYTACGAAGATGTGTTTAATGAGATTGTGGTGGCACATGATTGGCATATTGGTGGCTTTTGCCGTAGATAATTAATTTATTATAATAAATAACAAATTCGTAATTAATTATTAGTTTCGTATTCGRAGAAAMYTTTTGACTTGGAATTTTACAAACTAGCTGTCGCCCGACATGGTCGGCACGGAAAATTAATGTATACACTGTTTAACTTAATTTTAACTTTAAAAAGCAGTAATCACGTTTATTTAATAGTTCATGAAGAAATATATTTTAGTAAAAATATACATGTGCTTTTAACATTTAAACACCATCTTAAATATTCTTAATCGATAATCAAATAAATAAATTTAAAAAAAATAATTAAAATAATACCATGGTAGGTACTTTATTTTGTTATACATAATTTTAATTTAAAGTTATGCATTATTTCGGAATAGTTATCTCATTTCATTATTGCCGATGCTCTGCAATGAACAGATTGTATACAAGGGCATCGTTGATACAAAAGTAGTATTATAATATATTATACCTAGGTATCTATGGATTTCTCTTATTGATTTAGTACAATATAATCCATGGCGATTGTCAAAGTCGTTGCGGAGGACGCATTCTATTAAATATTCTAACATTTCAATTAGATAGCAAAGTAGACATAAATGAAAAACATCCTGCTTTCCGTTTAATCTTTTTTTTGATAAATAACATTATTTTTAGACATCATTTCAGCAGTATCCGATGCGTTTCCATTTCAGCGTCGGAGTG